ATGATGGGCAACTCAGGCGAGGGAGCTCAGCTGAACCAACTAGAAATGTTCTTAGGGCTTATTCTTGTTGAATAGCCTGCTATGGCTATGTAAATCTTTTGTTAACTGTTGAACCACCTGAGCGTTTCACAGTGTTAGTATTCCCTATACTGAATCTAAACCATGAGCCCTACCCCACCCAGAACAACAGGCATAGTACCATGGGGTGGAAACTGATGATGGATGGACAGTATAGAGGAAGGTAACCTGGACTGGCCTTCATGCTTCTAGTGGTGTTTTTGGTGATGTCTCTAGAGATGGTGATTGCTTATGGTGAAGCTCTTCTCACTCCTGAGGGATTAGAGAGTAAACTGCATGTGACCATTCATCCCATCTGGCAGTTGCTGATCTCAGCAATGATGGTGGACCAGCTAGAGGCAGTGGTACTTTGCCTTTTATCTCCTGTCCCTGGCAGAGGAGGGGATAGTCAGGCTCCAGCTCTAGTGGCCTCCGCATTGCTCACACCATACACAAAATGGCTGTGGCAGCACAGGCCCAACCCTGGGCCTAAGAGGATGACCCTCATCCCAACATGAGGAGATGGATTCAGGCCTGGCCTAGTTGGTCAGAGTCAAGCCTTAGGAGTGACAGTGCAACTGGAGTCAGACTTGCGCCTACCGTCTATCTCAACAACGGGAGGTAATGTCAGGCTTGCCAAAGCAGGGTAGAGTCAGAACCCAGCAAGGTTAGGACAATAGAGCTCAGGCCTCTGCAATACTGTAGACCATGATTACTGTAATGTAAAACTGATTGGCCCTCTAAATTGCTGCCGGGAAAATGCCTAGTGGTCTTGGTGCAATTTCTCCCAGTGAGGGCTTGGAGGAAAAAAGGTGACATTTTTGGGAGAGGGCTTGTCTTGTAGCAACAAGAGAGAAACAAGAGTCCCTACGAAAGAAGATGGGCAGCCCCACAGAGGCTTCTCATGGGGATAAGATTTTGTTCTCACCTCCTCCCAGCTTTCTGTGAGGGTACCAGGGAGAAGGAGATCCTGGATGTTGGGCTTAATGCTAAGCGGGTGGTGGTACTGGGCAGTTCTCCCTTGCCTGTGTTGAGGAGTGATGACTGCACAAATGTCATCACCTTTGCTGTGGCCTCGATGTTCCTGGGCTGCTCTGGTTTATGGTCACATTTTTAAAACTGAAAGACCCCATTATGAGCTTCAAAGATTTTGCATCACCTACCACAGGGACCTGATTGTCTCTTCACCCTATCTCATACCCCCATTCAGTTGCCACATTTTGTCTTTTCTATCCCCGTAAAAGAGAAGCATATACCCTTTTCTCCCCACTCACAGAGGTGAAACCCTAGCTCAGGCCCTCATTACTCCTTACCTGGATTATTGCAATAGCCACCAAATTGGTCTTCCTGTATCTCTCGTCATTGGGTCCCCGTCCTTCCTGGGACACTCTCAGATTCAGTCATTCCAACTAAGGAGATGCTACTCTTGCTTGTTTTATTTTTGCTATGTTTCTGTTTTAGTTTTTTCCCCTTACCTTATTTAATAATGATAGCAGTAGCTAGGATTTACATAATTCTTTAAGGTTTGAAGAATACTTTCCATATATTCTTATGTGATCTCACAACAACCCAGTGAGGCAAATTCTCTTTTTGTCCTCATTTTACAGATTAAGAAATTGGGACTTAGCAGCTAACGGTTAAGTAACTTCCTCAAAAATGTAGGAAGGAAACCAGTCTTTATTAAGCACCTTCTGTATGTCAAGTATTGTGCTAAGCACATTACAAATATTTCATTTAATCCTCACAATGACTCTGGAAGTAGGTGCTATCATTATCATAATTTTACAGTTGGAGAAGTTGAGGCAGAGAGAGGTTAAATGATTTGCCCGGGGTCACACAGCTGGTAAGTATCTGGATTTAAAACTAGATTTAAAGAGACTGGATTTAAACTCAGACCTTTTTGACTCCTAAACCCAGCACTCTATCCTGTACCAACCCAGCTGCTTCCTTCTCAGCTCTTTTGCTGGATTTTACCCATGTTATCTGTGGGTATACCCCAAGCCTCTTTCCTGGACCCTTTTCTCATTCTACACATTCTCATGACCTCATAAATATTTGATGACCTCATAAAGTTCCATGTTCAAATGATCATTTCTATGTACATGACCCCCCAGATCAATGTATTATCCCTACCTAGGTTCTCTCCTGAGTTCCACTATCAACTGTCTGTTGAACATTCCCAATTATGTATATTTTGTAGACCACTCAAACTCAGCTTGTCCAAAAAAGACCTCATCTTTTCTCCCCAATATGTCCCTCTTTTTAACTTCCCAATTGTTTTCAAGGGTACCCTTATTTTTGCCATCACCTAGATTTGCAACCTTAGTACCATCCTCAACTCTTCACCCTTATCTCACACGGCCATTTAGTTGCCACATTTTATCCTTTCTATTCCCATAAAAGAGAAGCATATATACTTTTCTCCCCACTCACAGAGCTGAAACCCTAGTTCAGGCCCTTATAACCCCTTATGTGGATTATTGCAATATCCACCAAATTGATCTTCCTGTTCTGAGTCTTTCTTCAGTCCAGTTCGTTTTCCAGGAAGTCATAAAGAGCTTGTCTGACCATTGTTACCCCTCTATTCAATTCCAGTGGCTCCCTATTACCTCTTGGATTAAATCTAAACTCATTAGAGTTTTACAAAACCCTTTCAAAGTCTGGCAGGTCCTAACTTTCCATCTTTTATTTTCACATTAGACCCATCCATTCATCCTGGGGTCCAGCCATCATGGCCCCTTTCCCTGTTTTGGCACTACCTGTTTTTCATGCCTGTGTTGCTGTCCCTTCTCACCTCTATGTCATGGAATTCTTTGTCTCCTCTAAGACTCATCTCAGGTACCTCCATGTGAGACCTTTCCTAGTCCCCGAGACGCTAGTGCCTTTCCCTCAAAGGCTACTTCATCTTCTTTGTATGTGTTTTGTGTTTGCCTATATATGTGCATGTTGTGTGACTCCATGCTGTCTAGGGTTCCATTTAAAAAAATCCTTATTACAATGTTCTCATATTAAGTCTGAAGTCCAATAAAATGCCCATAAAATTTTTATCTTGTCTGCTGTCTAGCCATATTTCCCTATCTTTTGAAACTGATTTTTAAAAAAACTCAGTTATGACTTCACATTTATCTTTATTCCATTTCATATTATTAGCTTCAAATCAGTTTCCTAGCCAGTTAGAGCTCTTCCTGAATCCTGGCTCTGCCATCCAAAATGTTACTTATCTCTCCCAGTTTTGGGTCATCTGCAAATGTGGTATTTTATTGCTTCATATGTTATAAATAAAAAATGTTAAATATCACAGGACCAAGGAAGGTCAGAATTGGCAAATCTTTTGGGTAAGGGAGCCATCTCATCACCCAATCATTCCAAAATAAATTCATCTTCATGTGACACCTTCCCTGCCTCTCAACTTCTGCCAGGCACGTTGCGAGGAATGCCCCACTTACTGGCCTGCCTTGGGAGGCTGTGTTGTGTCCTTTTTGAAAGAAGCTATTCACCAAAAAGCTGGATGGAACAAATAAGTAGACCCCACTGAATTTTAAAGGCCAATAATGTTGCTTAGTAGCAGAGAATCAACCCAAGCCATGCAGTTAGAATGCATCATCCAGGGAGGCTGCGAGCATTATTCTCCAGATATTATTTAGATAAATTACCTATGGGGGAGACAGGCACACGCTTGCCTGGGAGCTTGGAGATAGAATGGAATGACTTCTTAAGATCCAGCCCTGGATTACATGATTGTGTGAAATCACAACACAGCTGGCATGATTAATAACATAATTAATTACCCAGAAACTTTGTCTCTTGAACTTTTTATATATCAGTTACTAGGATAAGTTTTCCAGTCCCAAATATTCTGCATCTCTCAAATTCTAAGTATTAATACTAAAACAATGTTTCAGAGGGATCTGATGTCAATAAAGCACCTCCTGGTAGACTAAATATTTAATATGTGATGGAATGATATAATGTCAAGGGATAGAACTGGAGGATATGGAAATATTGCCTGTCATCTCCTGGAAAATGGGTTTTAAAGATGAAGGCTCCCCTCAAGATGAATTGGTTAATCCAGACTATTGGGAGGATGAGTTTTTGTGGGAGAAGCCACCCCTTTATACTGGCCTATAAAAAGAAGCTGACAGAATAAATCGGATCTTCCTTTTCCCTTTTTTACTTCTCACATTTCTTCTGCAGAGATCCTGAGATCACAGCAGGTGTGACTTGGTAGGGGAAGATGTGATATTGGGGATCTCTTCACCAATGGAAGCTTTGAAGTAGAGATACCTGGTAGAGGAAGACAATCATTCACATCCACATTTCCTGAAAAGGATTGCTAGACCAAAAGTTCCCAGCTGTCTTTTCACTCTTTTCCCCCTTTTCTGAGAAGAGAGCAGAGACCAGAGATCTGAGAGTGGCTTTGCCCAGCCCAAGAAACAGCAGCAACAATTATAGAATTCTTGGGATTTTCCTCTCTAGTTACCCTAAGTTTGAGTGATTTTTTTGGTGGGTGGGATGGTTGGAAGTAGTATGACCCTAGAATTTAGCCTACTAACTAGAGGATGTGGAATTTCCAGAGCACTCCCAGTCTTGGGGGTTCCATTGTAATGATCTCAAATGTGAGAGTTTGGATCTGGACTGCTGAAATAAAGGGAATTTCCTGAGCATATCACATCTCGGGGAGAAAAAAGGCATGGGACATGACCCCCAGTGCTGGGAGGAGAAAAAATAAGTGACTAAAGGCACAATACAGAAGAGCAAGGAACCTTAACTTAGCATAATATTATTATAAACAATTGTTTGTATGTTATAGGTCTGATAGGAAAGGGGATTGCATTCTAGAATGCCAATTGTGTTTCTCTTCTGAGGGATTCCAAGCATTACCTCTTTGTAATGGGAGATGCCTGGAGTTGGATTTGTTCATTGATCCTCTATGGAGACATATGCTCTGGCCTCTTGCTGAAGGACATGCAGAACACAATGTGGCTCCTGGTAGATCCGGGTAGGTCTCTGTAACTGGGGGTTGTGTCAAAGATGATTGGTGGTCTATACAAGCTGTAAAAAGGCTCTCTCTCTTTCTTTTGAGTGTGTCATTTGGTATTCTTCCAGGTCTCCTTTGGACATCCAGTGAGGAGGGAGGTGATTTCTCTCCTTACCATTTCCAGTGGCAATAATGGCTACAGGCATATAGCAGCAACAACCTGAATTTGCCTAGGCAGCCTGAGAGTAGTCTCTGAGGATTGTTCGTATTTTTTGTTGCCTTTCATAACAAGCCATCAGCATCAATCTAGAGAAATGGACATTTCGAGTCTTGTGTGTACTTTGTGAGTCTGAGTGTTCCTGGGTCATTGTCAGCTGTCTCATGGGAGGGGTGCTTATACTTCTTGAGTAACAGATAGACATGAATAGGATCATTCTGAGCCTGAAGGGACTGAGGGACTATATCCAGCTGGCCGGGAGACCCAGACCTTGTGAGTTGTTTGGATAGGACAGATGTAAAATGAATGTGAAATGTCCAACATTATAACAAAGTTATCTTTACCTCTCAGGAGAGTATAGTGGGGAAAGGGTGAGGGAAGGAATGAGCATTTTGTAAGTGCTTACTATGTGCCAGGTACTGTGCTAAGAACTTTACAAACATCTCATTGGATTCTCACAATAACCCTGGGAACTTGGTACTATTTTTTTCCACATTACAGTTGAGCAACCTGCGGCAAATAGAGTTAAGTGCCTTGCCAGGTTACACAGCTAGTAAGTGTCTGAGAGGGGATTTGAACTCAGTTCTTCCTGATTCCCATGCTGGCGCTCAATCCACTGTACCACTTAGCTGCTTCATAATAGGTATGATGGGTTATTGGCATATGTTTTAAGCATCTGTTAATATGTGCTTAGGATTCATTGGTATTTTAAATATTTTTTATGATGGGGGAAATACATAGCTGCCCTGTAGCTGATACCGGTTTTGTACATTTAATATCTTTGCTAGAAAAGCCCTTATTAATTCCATTTAGGAGATCTTAGACGTGATACATATCCAAGGTGTTGTTGTTGTTATTGGAATTGGTGGTGGTGATAGTGGTGGTGTGAGAAAGGCCTTATTGTTCTCGCTGGGGCTCAGTTTACCCCAGGATGAATCTGGGTTGCACTCTAGCTTAAAGCTGGGGCCCCCTTTCTGGTAGATCTTCTTTGCCACTCTGGGCTGTGTTTCACACATTAGGAGGTATGTGGCTAGTACACAATCGGCTTTAATAATGCCTCACGATTGCATTGTGCTTTAGTGTTTGCAAAACACTTTTCCTCAAAAAACCTCAATGAGATAAGCAGCATAAATATTGTTATCCTCATTTTACAAATGAGGGGATTTTGACAGCTAGGTGGGACAGTGGAGAGAGCTCTGGGCCTGGAGTCTGGAAAAGCTAAGTTCAAATCCAATGTCAGAAACTCACTAGCTATATATATAACCCTATCTATTTGCCCCAGTTTCCTTACTGGTATATTGGGGACAATAACAGCACCTACCTTGCAGGACTGTTGTATCAAGTGATATAATATTTGAAAAGCACTTAGCACAGTGCCTAGTCCATAGCAGCTGCTATATAAATGCTCATTTCTTTCCCCTTCTCCCTGATTAGGCTCTCTTTCACCCTGAAGACGTTTCTAAGTAAGATGCTAATTGACCAGTGGACATAGCTAGGAGACACTGGAGACAGTATTCAAACCCCAGTGTCTCCTGCCTCCCAGTTCTGCTCTAAAATGAATCAGCCAGTAACCTTGTACAATTGCCTATCCCAAATTAGTCTGTTAAGTAACCCTTGTAGCTTCCTTCCCAACCAGTCATGGCACAAGCCCAAAACCATCTCTTTAATTCTTTTGTATGCTTCATATGGCGTCATATCACCTTAACATAGTGAAAAATACAAAGTAGATGCTTGATACATCCTGACTGCCTGATGAAAACGAGGTCTTTGTGTCCAAGGTCTAAATGAAATCAGGACAGGTTTATTAAAAACCTGGCATCAGCCCCAAAATAATGAATAGGCTCTGCTTTAACCTTTTGGTTTTCATTGCCTTTTATTCTTCCTTTCTGGGAAACTGTCATTAACACAGTCCTAATATATTTGCTATAGGCATATGGGTGTCTTCTTAGGCTAAGTAGTAAGAAGAGTAACAGGGCAATTTGAAATAGAAAAAAGGGCAGGGACTGTCTTTTGCCCTTTTTTTTTTTTGTATCTCTCACGGTTAGAAACAGTACCTGGACATAGTAGGTGCTTAATCAATGTTTATTAACTGACTGTAGAAAAGACAGTGGAAAATATGAGTTAGGATCAAAGCAAATTTTGTTTGTTTAGTGATTTTTGAAAACCAGCCAGAGTACTAAAACATCTCAGTCACTGAGTATCTATTATGGTTTTGAAATCTTCCATTGTAAATCTATTTCAATGTTTAACAACTTTCATAGTCAGGAAATTTCTTCTAATATCTAACCACGTTCTTGTAGTTTGCAGCTGAGACTAATTTCTTCCTGCTCTGGAGTTGAAGGAGAGGGGAAATAGCTACTAATTAAGTTTCAATTTGATACACTTTGATACTTTAGTGCTTTAATGGATCTCTAATCTCAGTGATATGGTCACTCCTTTCAACTGCACAGATTGTAACCTATCCATGCCTCTGCATCCTGCGGGACCCTAGTCTATGTGTCCCCATAAATCCTCTCTCAAATGTTCATCCAATGTACTAGGACTTTCCATTGACATCTCTTTATATTATGTAGGGTCACTAATGGAATATAATGTCTGTCCAGTTCTTATCGCTTATGGTGACTCATCTACCTCCTTTTCTAGTTGTGTATCTCTTTGAAGAAAGCTTTTAGATAGCTTTTGGTGTGCGATATTTTGGTTGGCTACATGACACCACCTAAAACATGTCTACCTTGCCTCTTTACTTTGCCCTTTGCATGGACTCTACTTTAATTTTTCTGAAACTGTGGTATTCTATGATTTGTGCCCTGTAATATTATCGAGAGAATAATGAACTTAAAAAAAAAGACAGATCTTTGTTTCAGAGAAAAGCTTGGGAGTCATTCAAAGCATTGTACTGCATAGTTTTTCAAAGGTGTGGCAGCCTAATGTCCTTTGCTTATACAATTTTTGGGTCAGTCAGTTATTCATCTGCAGTGTCTGATCAAGATATATGTCTTGATGGACTAGCTGTATGGGCTGTCCATCCAATGGAATATCATTGTCTGGACCATAGACAATTTTTATCTGCCTGGTTTTTCCTGTCTGGGTAGTTGAGGTGAACTATTTTGGTTGATTGTCAATCTGATTTAGTTACACTACATGGTGTTCTGGGGGATAAGGCAATCAGTTCAACGTCATCAACAATCCAGATCATCTGGAGAAATGTCTACAGGGAATCCCTCTTTCATTTGGATCTGTTCAGGACATTCTCCATGACAATGCCAAACTCCTTGACAAGCATATATCTCTCTGTTTTATGCCTTACTTGCTATTTCCAATCACAGAGTTGTTGGACAGTCATATCTGTGTTGTTGCATCTTTAAGTAATCTTATGTATCTAAGAAGGGTGTCCTGTACCCCTACCAATAATTATAAACAGACCAGATTTCTTGATTGAACTTGTGGATGAACTAGGTGTGAGAAAGGTCTAAACACCTCTACTGAATCAATTAATTAACCAATCTGAGAACTTTAAGCATCTAATGGAAATCTAGATTTTGATTGATGTGATTCAATTGAAAAATGTTCTCACCTGGTTAAGATATTAGGATATAGCATGTAGTCATTTACTTTCAGAGTTTCAGGGTAATTGATTGACCTAGACTCTCCTCTTCCCCTCATATATGATTTTGGTATATTCATGAGAGATACCTCACTGGATAAGAGCCTTTAAAGGTATCATTTTAATTGATCCAATTAAATATATTTTTGTAGTTAATCAACCATATAAGCCTGCAGCATCAGTTATCAAATTGTATTGATGGAGTACACATGATGGAGTGCCCATTAGCACAGTAATGCTAGGTATTGCAGAGGGCATATAGACTCTCTCATTTTGCAGTCTAGAATGGCAGGCATAGGTACAGACATGAAGGAATGCTAAATAGTAGGTGAAACCTCCAAGGTAACAACACCCTCTCATGTGTGGACCTCCCAAAAGCCACTCAGGTTCAAGGTACTCTATTGGGGCAGGAAGAGGACAAAGAAGAAATTGATCTAATATGCCTTCTTAGACCAAGGTAGTAACTTTTGACGGTCTATTTATGCTTGCTAGTCTTTGTGCTGCCTCTCAGTCTTTCCCTTAGCCTCTTTTGATCTGATTGTAGGATTCAAAAATGGAAGGAAATTTGGAGATCTTTAGTTCAATCCCTTCATTGTAGAAGTGATGAAATTGAGGTCTATTTAATAAGTGACTTGACCAAGGTCACATAGCATCAGAGATGGGATTCAGGTGTCCTGCTCTTGAAATCATAACTCTTTTTACAATACAATTAGTTTCTCAGGGCTTTGAAACCGAATTGTTATTGTCAAAGCCATAAAACAATGAAAAGATTACAAACAGAACACTGGGCCTAAACTCAGGAAGATCTGAGTTCAGATCTATCCTCAGACATTTACTAGCTCTATGACCCTGGCCAAATTACATAAACTCAGTCTGCCTCAGTTTCCTCTGTAAAGTTTAAACAAAAATAATAGCACTTACCTCCCTCACCTGTAAAATTGAAATAATAATAATAATAATAGCAATTATCTCCCAGCAATTATCTCACAGTCATATTGTAAGGTTAAAATGAGATCATATTTGTAAAGTGCTTTGTAAACCTTAGGGGACAGGTGGGTGGTATAGTGGATAGGTGCTTGCCTTGGAGTCAGAATGACCTGAGTTCAAATCTGGCCTCAGATACTTGCTAGCTATGTGACCCTAAGCAAGTCACTTAATTCTGTTTGCCTCAGTTTCCTCATCTGTAAAATGAGCTAGAAA